TTCAGTTTTTTGAGGGAGGACCTGCCCAAACTGCTCTGCAAAGGGGCTGCACCATTTTACAGACCCACCAATAACATATGAGGATTTCAGTTTCTCCACAACCTTGACAACACTCATCATCATTTATCATTTTGGTTATAATCACTCTAGTAGATGTGAAGTGATATCTCACTGTGGTTTTCATTTGCATTTCCTTAATGACTAATAATGGTGGTCATCACTTCATATACTTATTGGCCATTTCTATATCTTCTTGAAAGGAATGTCTATTCAAATCCTTTGCCCATTTTTAGTTGGGTTGTCTTTTTATTATTGAATTGTAAGAGTTCTTTATATATTCTGGATACTAGACCCACATCAGATACATGATTTGCAAAAATCTTCTCCCATTCTATGGATTGTCTTTCCATTTCTTTGAGAGTGTCCTTTGATGCACAAGTTTTTAAATTTGATGAAGTCAAATTTATCGATTTTTTCTTTTGTTGCATGGAATTTTGGTGTCATCGCTAAGAAACTATTACTTAATACAATGTTGCACAGACTTATCCCATGTTTTCCTATAAGAGTTTTATAGTTTTAGCTCTTATATTTAGCTCTCCAATCCATTTTGAGTTAATTTTTGAATGTGGTATGAGGTAGGGGTATAATCTCATTCTTTCGCATGTGCATATTCAGTTGTCCCAGCAATATTTGTTGAAAAGACTATTCTTTCCACACTGAATTTTTTTGACACCTTTGTCAAAATCAATTAACCATAAATGTGAGGTTTTATTTATGGATTCCCAATTCTATTACATTGATCTGTATGTCTATCCTTATGCCAGTACCACACAGTCTTTACTATATATTTTGAAATCAGGAAATATGAATACTCCAACTCTGCTCTTCTTCTTTAAGACTATTTTGGCTATCCTGGGTTTCTTACATTTCCACATAAATTCTGGGATTAATTTGCCAATTCTTGATAAAAAGCCAGCTAGGACTTTGGTGGGGATTAAGTTGAGCCTGTAGATCAATTTGAAGAGTACTTCTATCTTAACCATATGGTCTTTAACCCATGAACAGATATCTTTTCATTTATTTAGGTCTTCTCTAATTTCTTTCAATGATGTTTTGTAGTTTACAGGGTACTTGTGTGGCACTTCTATTAAATTTACTCGTATGTATTTAATTCTTTGGTGCTTTGTAAACAGAACTTTTTAATGCTGTGTACAGAAATACAACTGATTTTTATAGATTAATCTTGTATCCTGAGATCTTGCTGAATTCATTTATTAGCTCTAATAGTTTTCCTGTGGATTCCTTAGGATTCTCTATGAGGATACTTTAAAAAGCTCATGGAAAGATTTATATTATCTTTTAATTCTATTTTCCTATAAACTTTTTGAAGTACCCTCATATACACAATAGCATGTCATCCACTGGGTAACTCACTTTTGAAAAGTGAAAAATGTAGTGAGTGACTTACTGGAATAAAAATTAATACAACTGACTTAAGAAAAATATTTTCAGTATCAAATTGCTCTTTTAGAAGACAAATTCATTCACATTCTGTACTGTACTAACATTTAAAAACTCCTTACAGCAAATTTATCCTTCCTTGCTTTACCAGTGAAATCTTCCAAGTGTTTTTAGTGATAGCGAAGTAAAAAGCCATTGTTCACTATGCGCTGTTTCCAAGGGCAACTCTAAAAAATCAAATATTTTATTCAGATAGTTTTCTTAAGGCCAATCCAAGACCTGGAGCCCTCCTCGCTAAGGCCCTCACTGCACGTCTCCCTTCTCCTCCACTGCTGCCCTTCGTGCTAACCAACCTATTCAGTGATATATGAAGTCATTTACTTAATTTTACCGCAACTTTTTTTAAAAAGGATTTAAAGAGGCCTGTAAAAATTGCAAATACATAAAAAGGTTGATGAAATAGAAAGTTAGGGCCATGAAAGGGAGGAAGAAACTAATGTGCTCATTATGAGAAGCATGTGGTAAGAAAATGCAGCACCATCAAGGAAGAAACCAAGTTCAAATGCCGGCTCTACCACCCACCAGTGATGTGAAGCTGGGCACACCACTTACCCCCATTTGACAGAGGAAGCTAATGAAGTTCAAGGCAGTGAACGCTGCCCTTAAGAGTGAGGGTGTTGTAATGAGACAGTGTATGTGCCTAACGGAGCACTCCCCCTATTGCAATGGTCATCGATGCCTCTCCCCCACTCCCCAGTTCTCGTCATCACACAGAAATGAGCACCACAATTAGCTCTAAGCTTTCTGGCAGCAAAGGCAGAAAAGTAAATGTGATAAATGTCAGAACTGTTATTAAAAAGAAAGAAGCTTACCAGTTCTTTTGGTAAAGCATTTTATCCCAAAATATAATTTTTTTCTCTCTCTAATGTCTCATTACATCGAAAAAATTAAGCAATATTAATGAACAATAATTATTCCTCATTAAGAGGTTTTAGAACAGAAGCTGTATTTTTCATAGTTGTTTATTTATAACAACTTTTTGTAGAAACTGAAAATACAGCATTACGCCAAAAAAGTGACTATGTAGGCACAGGCTAATGTGGTCCTAGCACAAAGCTTCCAGAACTCTAATTTGATTACCTACGCATGTTGGAAAGCAAGTGGAATGAAGGAGATCATACCATCTGCCTTGCCACAAAAAACAATTGCATTGTATAATGTTGAATATACTAATTATGTTGATTTGAGCATCACGTATTACACACATATTCAACTCTGTACACCACAGATATATATAATCAACTATGTAACAATAAAAAATAAAATAAGAAACTAAAAAGAAAGAAAAAAAGTTGTACTGCTTCCTAAATATTTGGTTAACTAAACACTTTAAATGCTCTTAACCATTTAGGAATCCTTTGAAAACCTGAAGAACCCTTTCCATAAGGAAAGTTTATAAGTTTCAAATAAAGACCTGCTTAAAATGTAGTATACTTATGCATGTTTGAGATTTACTCAACAATTCACTATTTCAGCTATTTCGAGTGCCTTTTCAGCGTGGTCTAGGACACCAGGGGTGCCTAATCTTCTTCCTCCAAGGAGGAGTTTATTCTTTGTTTCTTTCTACTAAGGGAGAACAGCCTGCTACTTGAGCATGCATAAATCTTAAATCCAATGAGAAGAAATCATACAGTTTCTTGCTATAGTAATAAAATTATTAACAACTGGTAATAGAAAACTCTCTATTTGTCATTTAATTTCACAAACTGACCTAAGAAGGCTCAGTTAATATCAGGCTCAAAGTGGCACTTTATTTTGGAAACCATCAGTATACATAATGCTTTAATAGTAACACAAGCTGATTAAAACTAAAAACAATATAAAATACACTAATCTTACTATCAATAGAAAGTGCAGATACACAAGAAATCCTGAACATTGACAAAAACAGGTACAAATATAAACAGAAAAGATGGGATAAGGACTACTGTAATTTATTCTAAAATGATTACTAAATAACATTTTCCATTAAACAATACAGTAGGGATGAGAGGGGCACTTTGGTTTAAAAAGAACATATTTTCTCTCAAAGCATTAAACCTTTTTTAAAACGGCATGAAACAGGAAAGGGGGGGAGGGGTAAGAATCAGGGGCTACAAGGGATGACCACCTGGGCAGCAGTAGGCTGAGAATGAATGAGAGGGAGGGTACCAAGGGGATAAAATTCCAGAGACACTGAGGAGCAAGACGAAGACGGTGTTAGTCTAGGAGTTTAAATGGCTATTAAATTTAAGGATTTTTAAACTATAAATATGTGAAACTTTATACAGTGAAAGAAGTGTAAGTGCATGAAGTCCACAATAGAATATTGTTGCTTCCTCTGGAACTGATACCATAAACCCAGGGTATAGCGGAGGCTTCCTATCTCCTTCCACTCTTGAGAATTTAAGGGCACAATTCTTAATCAGCAAATTTACTGGCACAAAGTTAAAACATCAGTATATTCCTCAGAAAAATGCCAACTTGCTGCCTGAAACAGGGATCAGCAAGTTGTCTTCCACCTGCACAGGAGGGAAAGGATGGGGGAAAAGTTGTGTGTTGAAAACTTCTATACATCTCTGGAAAGAGAACCTTTGCAGAACAGACATGTCAGATAGACTGCACTCAGCCACTTACTTCAGTTCTCAAAGAGCAAGTTTCTGTTTCATCTTAGAACTTACAACAGGTAAACACAAGGAAAATCATATATGACGCTAGGGAACAAATGGTCTACCAGATTAGGCCAGCCAAGAAGGCTTTCATTTTAAGTAATTAAGTATGAACCACTACATCAACCTGATTTAACCCACTGCATGTCCTGGAGAACTGAAAAGGTCTCCTAAAATAATTCAATTAATTCATCTGTGGAATGTATAACAGAACATTTATTTCACCAGCAGACATTTTCTTCAAAAGATTCTATTTCTTGCTATGGCTAAGTCCTCCACAACCTCTAACCCCACAATGTGGAAATGTGCCCATCCCATTCCATCCCTCTCCCAATCCCTCTCCTGCTCTCCAAACAAACCATTCTTATTCCCTAACCTCAGGTCTACAGCTCACAAATACTGTCAGACACAGCATTGTTCATGGGCACATACTTAAGTTTTCAGTGGAGTCATTTGTTGGCTCTCCTCCTGAACATGGTTTAAAATTACTGAGTGGTAGTTTCTAAAAGTATTTACTAGCCACCTATATGACACATGCTACTTTGCTTAAATTAACTACTTTGGATTCCATCAGTTTAAAGACAGCTTTCAAACAAATTAGGCCTTTTACTAGTAACAAGCAGTAGCACCCTTTTTAACCATTAAAATTTAGGGGTGATAGGATGCAAAAACACAGGAGGCTGGCTATGGCCTCTCTCAAAGACAATATTGCAGAATGGGTAAACCAGCTTTTTGAGTAGAAAAATAAGAGCTGTAAAAGGGAAGAGGGTGGAGCTAATGATAGTAACACCCTTTCACTCTGATACACACGAACTTCACATAAAAACTTACTTGCCAATATTTTCAGGCAGAGACTGCAGTGAGATGTCATTTACAGAAAGACATGTTAAATTCTGTAATTCAGGAAAGCTTTCTGGCAACCTAAAAAAAAATGTTGTTAATTAAAAAAGAGAAGTAAGTGTATACTATAAGCATAAATATGATGATTTCTTCTATATGCTAATTGAAGTCACCTCCTAAAAATTATATTATATATGGCATGTTTGCCTTGTCTTCCTAGATGTAATACACTCGTAAGAAAAGAACAAAGACTTCGTCTACCTAATAGGAATACAGGGGCATGATAAATACTTGTTGATACGGTGATCCAGAAATAATCAAAGAGGAAAGATATGCAAGCTCTAAGAATAAAGGCAAAAAATATTGTGAACTACTGGGTGCTCTATGAAAGAAAACAAATTGTTACAGCAGCTAAAAGTGCCTAAGAGTGAAAATACCTAAGAAAATTGTCAGCCCATGAGATTATAAAACACAGGACACACAGGACAGCTGCTCAATAATTTTTCTTCCCGTAGCTTATAATACCCAGAACAAAGCTATAGGTTACTTAGAATTGATCTGCTGACAGCCAATTGCTACTTCCTTAACTTTTTTCTTTTAATTCAGTTTAAGATGCCAATTGCTTGAGATAATTATATGTTTCACTATGTTCTACACAAAAAGAAGTTCTTAATATATCCCTTAAACTCTACAGAATAGCAAGACTTCAAAATAAAGTCATTATTTAAAATTTACAAAGGAAGGTGAGTTTCAATATTTCTATGGTTCCCAGTATTTAGGGAGGAAAAAAAATCTAACCAAAAGCAAAAAGATCTCATTGCATCTAAAATAAGATGCAATACAGACACATAACTCTGCTAATATAAACAACAGAACATATGATTCCTTTTTTCAGTGGGGGAGAGACTTTTGATAGTCTCTAGAGTAGAATTTTTCACTTTCCTCTTTCTAGTTTCTTTTTTATTCAAAAAACAAATCCTACATTACAATTTGACATTTAATACAGGTTAAGTCCAAACTTCAAAACAAATTCAGGCCCACAAGATCAGGGTACTAACTGGAATGTTTAAAATCACTGAAATATATTCTTAAGAATAGTTAACGAAGTAACAAAGAAAGGTTTATACTTACAATTCAAAAGATGCAACTTATCTCTTCTGCCTGAGATTTTACCAGAAAATATATATCATTTTCAAATTTTAAAACTAGCTAAAATGTTTTTAAACATAGGGAAATGCATTTTTAAATGGCTGACTTGTTTTTTACTGGCTATTGACAGAAAGAGCCAAAACAGTATGATGTGATGAGGAAGCACAGACTTAAGGTTGGGAGAAATGAACCGTAGTGCGAGCTTCCGCCCACTAGCTATGTGATTGTGAAAGGTCATTTAACCTATTTGAGCCTTGATTTCTTCAGCCACAAAATAAGTAGGCCAAGCTAAATAACTTCTAATGTTCCTTCAACTCACCGATACCGTCTTAATTCTTTAAAACAGGGCACCTGCCAAATTAAAATGGCTTTACTTTAAGAAACCTGCCAAAGATGAGGCCCAGATTAAAAAACAAGTAAAGCCTCATACAATCTGGGTGTGTTCTAGTTGAGAATCTTGAGATAATGGTAAAGTCAAATGTCAGGAGACATTAGAAAAGTAAAATTAAAGAAACAGAAAAGGGGATTAAGCAACTGAGTGGTTTAAAAAATTCAGCAGCATAATGAGAACTTCCTGGCTTACCTAACTCTATAAGCTGACTTAAGCTTAATTCAGTTCAATAAACATTTATCCAGCACTTACTCCATACCAGGAATTATAGTAGGGTTGGAGGTACAATAATAAATAATAAAGGAACACAAGCAAATTTCTCAGTCCAATTGGGGAGTCTTTGTCAAAAGAATAACTTAAATGTAAATTTATTATGAAAAAAGTATAGGGCTGAGCCCGTGGCGCACTCGGGAGAGTGCAGTGCTGGGAGCGCAAGAGTGCTCCCACCGTGGGTTCGGATCCTATATAGGGATGACCGGTGTGCTCACAGCGCTCACTGGCTGAGCAGGGTGTGGCCGGTCTCAAAAAGGACAAAAAAAAAAAAAAAAAACAGAGATTCTGTTTGGTTTTGTAAATATCTTCCCCATGGGAAGACTTGAAGAGGAAAGGAGAAAGAAAAAGAATGGAATGTATGAATCCGAGACTCTGTTTCTGGTAATGGTGAGGTTCAGAGTATGATCATGGGAATGTGTGGCTGAGAAGGGATGGAGGAAAGGGTATCAAGATATAACATGAGGCAAAAAGGAAAAAAAAAAAAAAAAAAAAACAGAAAAAGAGAAAAGTACAGAGACTGTGCTGTAGACTGGCTGCCCCCCCAACCTCACTGAAGATTAAATCCCCACTGTAACTGTCGAGGGTGGGAAATCCTATTATGGTAATTGAAAGGTGGAGCCTTGAAGAGGTGATTAGATTGTAGGACCATGCCTTAGCGAATAGGCTAAAAATGATGGTCGGGGGCGTGGTTTGGAGGGCTTTGAAAGGAAAGTAAACGAGGATGTTACTCTCTCTCTGCTCCACCATTTTCTGCCATATGAGATCCTGCATTGCTGTAAAGCCACCACCAAAGAAGACTCACCAGATGTGTTCCCTGGACTTTGGATTTCCTATCCTCTGAAACTGTAAGCTATAAATTTCATTTTCTGCATAAATCACCCAGTTCCAGGTATTTTGTTATAAGCAACAGAAACGGACTAATACAGAGCATTAGGAAAGCCTAGAGGAGGAACCCATGGGGAGTAATCAGAAAACGTTTCCTGAAAATGGGTAATGTTTGAATTGCATCTTAAACAAGGGTGAAATAGTGGATATAGTCAAGCAGAGAGGGGCACAAAATGAACTAACTATGAGCACTATATTACAGCAGAGAGTGACGTCTGACGCAGGCCACCAAGGGCAGTGATGGTGAAGAAGGAGGCCATGGTCATGTGGGGCTGGCAGAAACTCGCACAGCACATCAAGGAGCTCTGACTTTATCTTACAGGGATAAAGCTACAGGAGGATTTAAGAAGAGAGACTATGGTATGGAAGATGGTTAGGATTAAGATGAAGACAGAAATGAGTTTCGAACCTGTTAGGTAACTGCTTACTAGCTTACTATTTTTCAGTAATAAATGTAAAAAACTAAATCACTGAAATACAGAAAAGGAAAACCAGAAACATTTTTAAAAACACATTTACTCCTTTAAAAAGTATGAGAAAAACAAAACGAAATAAGGGATCCCCCAGCACTCCATACCCAAGAAGTCCCAAGCAATTTTGAAATGGGTAAGAGGAATTCCAAGTTTCAGTTCAATCTCAAAAGAAAAAAAAAGAAAAGAAAAGAAAAGGAAGGGAGAAGTACCTTTCTTCTGAGGTTGTTTACAGAGTCTTGAGAAATCTTAGAAATGGACCCATCTGGCCTAGAGAGACCTCTAGAACAGACTCCTACGAACAGTCTCTACATTGCCATGTGGGCACCAATTTAGTTATCCTGGCAACACGGATGCCTGGAAGCCAGTGGTCAGTGGACTCATGACTAAGCCAGGGGCCACAAAGACAGGCTCCAGCAATGCCCCTCAGCCATGCCCATGCAGCATGCTGTGTCATGTCATACCAGAAAGGGCAAATCTGGAATAAGTAGTACAACACTGACAGGTGGCTTTATCTGGAGGGATAAACTCAAAGAAATCCCCACAGCTACTGTTAAAGTAAGGAAAAAATGGTGCTGACAGGGTTTTGATGTTGTTACGGTGAGTTAGAGGAAAGTTGAGATAGTAAATATGTTTCATTATTTAAGAAGAAAAAATAACTAATAGAACTTCTCATTGGATAACTATGGTGTAGGCTCGCTGGGCATTTAGAACTCATAAGATAGGACAGATCAATAGCAGATTTATAAACTACTACAATTCTTCATATTGATCAGAGATGCACTCCTGTTTTGTACACTCCTCTGTGCCTCCCCTTTTCCTCTACAATATCCTGTCAATGTTTCTATCAATAGCACCCTCTGTCTTTTATTGCACAGAGCTATGTATAAATAAATATCTGTGAAAGTCAACCATCTCTGATAAGGAGAGTGATCCATCTAGGTACCCCCAGGATGGATAACCTGGTTGTGTTATTTGCATGGCTCTCAAAAAAGATTATCTTTAGTACTATAGATAGAAAAGTAAGCAGAAATGTTACCTAGTCAGTGGGTTTCCGCTGAAGTCAGCTATCTGTAGTGCTTTACAGAATGAGATGCTTTCTGGAATTTCAGGAATATCTGCAGAAATAAAAAAAAATCAGTCATTACCACCATTGTTAACAGTTTTCATCAATCTCAAGATGAACCACAGTCACAAGAGACTATCTAGAAATTACTACCTCCATTAAAATACAGCATGGATTTATAAAGTATTTTCCTGCATTTATTTTATATTTGCTTTCCTGACACAAGGTATCTTCTGAAGAGAAACACATTAAAGAAAAACACTAAAAACCACCACCACCAAGTCCCACCATCCTATCAAAAGTCACTGATGGCATTCTATTGTAATTCCCACTATGTTTTCATATGGTTGTTTTACTACAAGATATTCTAAACTAGTACATCTTTAAATTATGGATTTTCTTATGATTACAAACATAAGAATTTGGAAAATATACAAAAGTACGAATAAGAAACTAAAAACCAACACTTGCATCACCCAATAATGTTTTACTCTGACGTATTTTTTTTAGTTGTCACTCATACACATACATACACACACGCACAACACACACAGTGCGTGTATAAGTAGATTATCTTTCAAAATACTAGGTTCATGACAATTAGGGGGTTTTTTCACTTTATATTATTTTATAAACTTTTTCCCTATCATTTTTTTCCTAGTTTTCTTAATGGCAGAAAAGCACATTGCATATATTTTAATATTTCATTTAATCAATCCCCTATTGTTGGACATTTAGGTTGTTTCCAAGTTCCTGATGTTTTAATTATATTTATGCTGATTTCTGATTACTTCCTTAGGCTAAGTTCCCAGAAGTGGAATTACTGTGTTAAAGGCATTGACATCTCTATAGCACCTGATAAACACTGTTAAATTGCTTTAGAGGGGGGCAGGTTATCTCTACTTATACTTCTAACAGCCTGTACAAGGTGTCCAATTCAATGTCTCTCCTCCTCTTTCTTTTACATTTAAAAAATAACATTTTATTTTATATTCCTTTTATTATTAATAGGACTGAACATTTTTCCCCATGTATACTGGCCACTAAATATTATGAATTTAAAATGACCAATTTAAAACTGTTATTTTAAATTTCTCTTTCTCTTGGCATAAAACCTGAGATTATAGTGTTTAGGGTTTTAAGAGGTTAGTTCATAGCATTTAATTCAAGAATACTTTTATTTTGGACATGTTAACATTGAGAAGGGCTAAAATAGAAATGGTTTTCCTGGTCCCATGCTGTTTCTTCCACCAGTTTGACAAATGCAAGCTGGGCCAAAACGTACCTAATTTTTCTAAATTGGGGTGGTGGGGAGAAGGGAGAAATAAAGCAAAGGACGGATGCCTTGCTCCACCAACCTCAAAGTAGTCAGCTGCTCCAGAAAAGCTTTCAGTTCAAATTTAAAAATCTAACACATGTGAATTTGTGCTAACATTTTCCTCACACTATTTTCTGACTTTCATGGTCACATAAGGCAGTGAAGAACAAACACTATGATCCTAGTTTCATAAATATAATAGCAATATACAGAGATATATAGCTTGTCCACAGTTGAGTCTGGAGTGGATTTTTAAAACTCACAAACATTTGTGAGATCTTAGGTATAAATACAGTGGTAGCCCCTTCTAAATACATTACCTTATTTAATCTGCTCAAAAATAAATTATTTTAACTTCCATTGCACAGAATGGATACTAAGGCTCAGACAATTGAAGTGACTTGCCCATCACTATAAACCTATTTCACTGAATGCTGGCTCTTCATGCTGAAGTCATGGCATTGCCATGCTTAAGAAGAAGTGAGCATATGTAAGTCCATTACAGGATCAGCACCACTGTTCAGGTAAATGAGGCAGCAACCCCCCACGGGCTTGCCTTGGTCTGAAAAGTGCTGGCTGGCCTGGACACTCCATGACAGTCCCTCTTCCTGCCACTACTTCACGTACTGGGTGGCAGTCTACAAGGCTGAGAAAAGAGGTATCTCATAAGTGCTGATGAAGATGATCAAGGGACATTAAAATACAAATTCTACAGCAGCTTGCTACTCTATCAAAGGTGAAAAAAAATTCAAAGAAGCAGAGTGTAAAGAAAAAAGCTGTGTCGGGTAAAAGTCTTTAATATTACATGGAACATCAGAAACATCACTGAGGCCTGAGAAGATGGGCCAATCAAGAGGTCACATGAATAGTGACTGTAAGAAATTCTGGTCGAGGCTGGTTTGGAATTCATGGATCAGAGGATAACAAAAGCAAATGCCAGAGAGCACAGCTAGACTAAGTCCACACAGAGCTGACCTAAAAGTTTGGTTCATAGGAAGGCCTATTTAGCTCAACTGCTTATATGCAGAAAGTAGCAGATAGTGAGCAGAACACAAGTCTCCTTGACTCCCAGCATCATTTCTTTCCACCACATGCGTGTTCAGAACTTGACCTTTTGAATATATTTGCCTGTAAAAATAAAAGATTTAGACAAGAAAGGCAATGGTGTGGTTTAAAGAGTCCTGATTACTGATTTGCCTTAAGCAAATTAGTAAAACATATCAGAATGGAAACTGAAGGTAGGAAGGGGAACATCTACTCACTCTGAAATATTCAGCTAAAATGTCACATCCTTGGGGACACTTTCCTTGGGCCCCAAGATTAGGTTGGGTTCCCCTGCTCTCAAGTTCCTTGGGTTTCACCTTTGTAAGATTGGTTACAGTTTTAATCAAATAATTTTTTGGTGATGGTCAATCTCCCTTATTCTCTAAGCTCACTGGAAAGAGAGACAATTTTGGCCTTGTCAGTTGTTGTTTCCCCAGAGCCATATTAAGCACATCACAGCAGGCTGTAAGTACTGAATGAATGCACAAGAAACTAACATTACTAAGCCTGTATGAGGACCATGGTTCTTTACTTTGAGTCATGAATAACCACCCCATAGGATAGGTGTCATCTCTATTTTACCAGCAAGAAAACTGCTTAGCACCAGATCTCCTACAAGAGACATATTAAGCTTGCAGGTTATTCCCAGCTGAAATTGCCTTTAACTGATTCCCAAATGTTCTGCTGGGAACAAATGTGAAGTTTAAGACTAAATGTATAGGAAGAAAAAAAAAAAAAAAGACACCTTCTCAATGAGACCTTGCCTGACCACCTACCTCATGAAAAAACTGTTGTTTGAATCCTTCCCACCCCCCCACCCCCTCTCTCAGACACTCCCATCCAATTTCCAGGTCCATTTTATATTCTCTAATTATTTTTCCTAGCCATCTTTCTCTGTCTACTCCTACTACTATCTGTCTAGTCCAAGCCTCAGATATCTAGATGACCACAATATCCTCTTAAATGTCCCTCTCTGGATCCAAGTTGTCCTCCATCAAACCCAAACAAGGGTAAGAGCAATATCCGCACTGGTTTTCCACATTTACTAGGATTGTGCCCCCAGGAAAATTGCTTAATCTGTGCCTCAGTTTCCTTATCTGTAAAATGGATTATTGATAGGTCTTTTTAAATGATGCCAGCATATCATAATGTAAGTGTTGCAGAGGTTCTGATAAGGGGAAAACTAGACAAAAAAGGGCCCTGTTATGCTTTGATCCAGATGAAAAAGAAGAGAGAAGAAGCAAAGGCATGAACGTGACATTGGATGCAAAGTGAGGAGAGAGTGGGTCCCACGGAACAACAGCGCAGTTGGCCCGAACTTCAGGATATCTAAATGGGAGTATCTGGAAAGAAGGCTGAAAAGATCTCTTGACAGTAAATTACCATATGCCAGGTTGAGCTCTTTACAAGTAATGTGCTAGACAAGGAGTTCCCTCTTCTATAAAAAGGGAACAATCATACCTCCAACTTAGGGTTTTTATTAGGATAAAGTGGGGAGGTAACATAAGTAAAAGCACATGACACACTATAATACAGGGTGGGGGATCAATAGAGATGACCACTGTTTTCCATTCAAGGCCAAATAATATGAAGGAGAGTAGTGTCATTAATAGAGAGAAGATTTAGAGGGTTTTTGCTGTTGTTTTAACTATTTGAGAAGCAATAATGATTAAACCCTGAATAAGCAGTTATTTATATACAAGTATCAGAAATACTTATTATATCCTTAGCATTATTAGTGTACTAGGTATTATATTTTTAGTATTATTAGTATACTAGGTATTATACTAATAATACTTAGTATTGTGGAGATTGTCATCTCATTAGAGAATGTAACCCCAAAACTCCCTTTTACTAGCCAACACAGTTGAAGCTTCTGTAAAAGGTAAAACAAAAAAAAATTTTTTAATCATACTTTTCATTAATGAAAATTGGCCTTGTCCCCCATAAATACCCAGAATAAAAGCATAAAATCTGATATGTGCAAAATGTCTGAGAATGATTATAAAATTAATCTTTTCCTTACAACTTTCCTCAGATAACCTTGAATTCAGACCCACTCTAAGCTATTGTTACTTCTAAATGAGATGGCCTTGAATTAGTGTGATTTAATTATATTCAAAAAATAAAAAACACCAAACCTGTGCTTTACCAATATAAGTATTACTACAGCCTGTATACAGGAATTCATAATCAGCTCTAAGTTCTGTCAGTGCAAAGTCTCCTTCATCTCCACCAGGCAGACAATTCTGTCACCATTTGCCAGAGGGTTTCTGAGACAGAATACAGCTTTCACAGCAGATTCTGTCATTTAAAAAGTGATTTAAAAGGACATTCACTGCCCTTCCTAGCACTCATATTCTTTTCTCAGCATCCATTTTACACATGAAGCTGAGATTCCACCCCCAAATTAATGTAGAAACTTAGTCTATATTCTTCTGTAAGAAATCAGGGCTTTCTCCTCATATCCCCAGAATCCTCTTGGTAGACCACGATCTTTCCTGAAAAGCCATCACCATTTAGGGCCCCTCTTGTGACACAGACAGATTGAATCAAGTGACTTCTCAGGTTCCTTCTGTAAGTGTAAGTGAGTTTAGAAACTCCAGGCATCTCCTTTCATGGAGGACTGTGGGCAGACAGCCTGTTTTGTCTAAGATAGCACAACAAATTCTTTTTGAATAGATTAATTG